AATTCTATACCACAGTGATTACCACTGGGTTTTGCTAATGTGACATTTCGAGAAATGGGCTTGACAGCGTAGCATAACAGCAGGCCTGCGTCCTATAGCATTCACCAAAAGGCATGGAATCTCTCTGTGAGGAGGAAGTTGTTGACGGATGTTTCACTCTCCTCCTAAAAGTCAAAGGAACAAAGAGTCAAGAGTATGAATTACTAGAGTTTTTCTATCACGAAGTTTTCTGAATTTTCCTAAGAGAACTCAGGAGATCTCCTGAATTTCAGGAAAAGTCAATGGATTTAAATCACCCTGAAAGACTCTTTGTAATATAACTTTAAACCATCTCATACTACTCTCCACATACTCTATGCTCCAGACCAAACTGGACCAGTCATTGGCCCCAGACTCTTTCCAGGAATCTTATCATTTGCTCAGGGCTTTCTCCGTGCTCCTACTCCTATTCCTCACCTTCTTCCTCCTCATCTTCCTCTCTGCCAGCTGAAATCTAACCCATCAGAACTCCCTTCTGATTGGAAAAAGGCAATCAGTTGCTGGCTTCACACTACTACTTCACACATAGATAAGCCTATATGATACCATAACCTGCCACTTCTGGCCCCTACATGTGGAGGAAGAAGTAAGCAGAACTGAAAACAGGGAATTTGAAAAAGTAAACTAAGTTCTCCATCTGATTATCTGGGGAGGAGAAAGGAGAAAAACCTCTATCTTGCTAAAGGTATTAAAACTGTTGTCTGCAGGAAAAATAGCCACCTGTGCTCTGACATACCAAGAGAAGTCCCCAAATTATGCACAAATTCCAGGAAGGTTTGGATTCTAAATTAAGATAAGTAGAATGAGTTTAACTCAGTTCAGCCAAAATTTATTAAATGCTTACTATGTAGAGAGCTCTGTGCTAGGTGCTGAGGGAGACGCAAAGTTTAAATAAGACATAGTCTCTGACCTCATGGACCTTTACTATCTAAAAGGGGAATAAGACACATAAATAATAGTCATTATGGCCTTCTCAGGGAAGGGAGGAGAGGGAGGGAGAGAATTTGGAATTAAAACTTTAAAAAATTAACGTTAAATATTTTTGTTTACATGTAATTGAGAAAAAAATAAAAATTCAAAACCAAAAAAAAATAGTCATTATGTACAACAGTATTTCAATGGATTCATAATGTCCTTAATGTGGTTACACCCTCTGATGGTTCAAATCATATCTTTCCCACTCCTCATTCTATGTGATTTTTTTTTTAGTGAATCAGTGATAATTTATTAATCATCTACCATTGACCTACCCCAAGCAGCTAGGTAGTGTGTGTAACCTATATTACACAGAGCACTGGGCCTTGAGTCAGGAAAACTCATCTTCCTGAGTTCAAATCCAGCCTCAAACACTTACTAGCTGGGTGACCCTGAGCAACTAACACTATTTACCTCAGTTTCCTCATCTGTAAAATGAGTTGGAGAAGGGAAATACCAAAGTACTCCAGCATCTTTGCCAAGAAAACCCCAAAATGGGATAACAAAGAGTTGGACACAACTGAAAATGACCCCAACAACAATTGACCTACCATGCCTAAAGAGGACCTAGGATGAAGCATGTTATTCACCTCCCAACAAAGGTGTGATAGACTCAAGGTACAGAAAGATACCTTCATTTTTAGACATAGCCACCGTGTGCATCTGCTTGACTCTGCTTATTTATTATAAGGGAGGTTTTTTTCTCTATTTTTAGTTAGAGGATGAAAAAGGGGAGAAAAGAGAATAGCAACAGTAATAGCCCCCCAAAACAGAAGGACATTTGGACACTTTTTTAATGAACAGAAGAAAACAGAAGGAAGAACAAAAGAAAGCAGACAAGCAGGAAAGTTTTAAAAGTAATAAGTTGAATTTATTATTTATCTTTTTTTAAAGCAACTAGTATGAAATATTCATAATTTCCTATACAATCCTCCTTTTCGTTCTGCTGTACATGTGGAAATGTTCTTTTTTATGTGTAAGTTCAGAATTTAAAAACTAAAAATATTTTAAAGCACCTACTATACTCTCAGTATTGTGCTAGGTGGGGGCTACAAGTACAAAGAACAGCATAATCTCTATTCACAAAAAATGTCCATTCAAATGAGGAAGACAACAAGTGCATAATAAGGGCATAGATGATAAATATGAGAATAAATTCAAATAAATACAAAATAGTTAAATATAAGGCAATTTGAGAGAGAAGGCAGTAGAAAGGGAGAGATTGGGAAAGGCTTCATGTAGAAGATGGTGCTGATGAAGGAAAAGGATGAAGTCAGATGGATGAAGGAACAAATTCCAGGCATGGGGAATGACCAGCACAAAGACATGGAGATAGGAGAAGTAATGTCATCTGTGAAGAAGAGAGAGAGAGACCTTGGCTGCATTACAGTGTGTGGGAAAGAGAGTAATGTCCAGTGAAGATGGAAGTCAGGTTGTGAGGAGTTTTAAAAATTAAACAGGACTTTACATTTTATCCTAGAGACAATAGGGACCCAGTGGAGTTGTTTAAGAGTCAAATCTTAGACTTAAGGAAAATCACTTTGACAGGAATGGGCAGGATAGACCCAAGTCTCTTACTCCATAGAGGGTCCAGTGGAGCAGAGGCCTTCCTCAAGGTCTTTTACCAGAGTAGCACTGAGGTCATCCATCTGTTACCATCTTGCACTCACTACATGACAAACCCACTTCCTTTTCTGATCATGTATATCCTGGATAAAATTTTTTCTTCTGCTTGTTGAATGCAAATCATCATGGGTAACACACTACAGTCTTCCACCCATACTACATCTCTCTATCATTCATAGGAAAGTTAGACTCTTCAGAGATTACAGTAAGAATATTGATTGCAATATTGATTGTAAGAGCTAGAACCTATATTAGAGAGCATTTAAGGCCCAGAGATTACAAACAATAATATTGTAAAATTGTACAGAGTAACAGTAACATTGTGCGATGGTCAACTATGATTGACTTAGCTCTTCTCAGTAATATAATGATCTGAGACAATTCTAGACGACTCATGATGGAAAATGCTATCCACAACCAGAAAAAGAACTGATGAAGTCTGAATACAGACTGAAGCACGCTATTTTCACTGGGGTGGGGGGAGGAAGGGTTAGTGGTTTTTTTTCCTTTTGGTCTATTTCTTCTTTTACAACATGACTAATGTGAAAATATGTTTTACATGATTGCACATGCAAAACCTATATCAGATTGCCTGCCATCTCAGAAAGGGGGAAGGGTAGGGAGGGAGGGAGAAAAATTTGGAACTCAAAGTCTTTCAAAAAATTAATGTCGAGAATTGTCTTTATATGTAATTGGAAAAAATAAAATACTATTAATTTTTTTTAAATAAAGCAATATTGCAAAGACAAACAACTTTGAAAGACCTAGTAAGTAATCAATGCAATGACCAGTCATGATTTCAGAGGACTCGTGATGAAACATGCTACCCACCTCCTGACAGAGATGATGGACTCAGAGTTCAGGGTGAAACATATTTTTTTGACATGGCTAATGTGGAAATTTGTTTTACTTGATTATACATGTTTGTGACAAGAGTTTTGCTTTTCTTGCTTTCCTGGTGGAAAAAAGGGAGGAAGGCAGGGAGGGAGAGAAAAGGAGGACTTTTGTTGATAGCAAAAAATAAAATTTAATTAATTTTTTAAAAGAGATTAAAGTATTGCATAATTCATATCCATAAAATATCACTGGAAAAATACCAATGTTAAAAAGATGAGGTTTTTTCTTTTGTTTCAGCAGGCTGCGTAGGATAGTTGAAAACACTATACAATTTGCCAAGTGCAGTCTCCTATTAAATTCTGGAACTAGCTTACTATCCATATGCAACGTCCTTCTAAGCTCTACCGTTGACCAATTTGATGGACTGTTGATACAACTGAATATCAAAGTTAGCATTTTAATAATAATAATAATGTAGTGCTTCAGGGTTTTATAAAGCACTTTCCCCATGAAGTGGGTAATGCAAATTTTATTTATTATCACAAAGTTACAACTGTGAAAAATTGAGGATCAGAGAGGTTATGACTTGCCTAGGGCCACACAGCAAATAAGTGTGAGAACTGGATCTCAAACCCAGGTCTCCTGACTGCAAGTTTAAAATATACAATATGTGAATTAAATAGTGCAAAATGCTATGTGAAGTCCCAAGGGAAAAGTAGTCACTGACAGAGGAAATCAAAGACAACTTGCTGAAGGAGATAGCCTTTGAGGTGAGCCTTAAATGAGGGTCAGGAATTCAGCCAGTGAAGAGGGAGGACATTCCAAGCATGAGGAGTGAGATGAACAGAGGCACCTTCTTATCTTGAAAAGCAAGATGTTGGAGTAAAAAGAGCATGGGGTTTGGAGTCAAAGACATAGGTTTGATTCCCACTATGCTGTTAATAGCTGTATCTCTTGGTGCACGTCATTTCATCTCTGGGCCTCAGTTTCTTTGCCTGTAAAATGAAGAGGAGAGACTAGATGAGTCCATTCTAGCTCTAAATCTTATGAACCTGTGAAAGATGCGGAGGCAAGAAAGCACAAAGAATGGATGTGTGTGTGTGTGTGTGTGTATGTTCAGGGTGCAAAGTTACCAAGAACCAGCCAGTTCACTCTGCATATAAGGATGTGGTCTGCCTATCACAAAAAGAGGATAGAGATGGGCTTCACATTTGAGGAAGGGCTTTAAAGCCGGGGATGAAGATCTTAGATGAGTTGGGAAAGCACCATAGGTCTCTGAGAAGTACTGTGGCTTGGTCAGCATGACAAATTAAGCAAATGCCAATGGTGGTGTACATAGATGTTAGGGATCTAGTGGAAGGGGTTATGTTCAAGGTAGAGGGGTAGGGAAAGAAAAGGCATAGAACAGGGTCTGGCCTCCATCTGTGGCAGTGGGGGAAAAGAGTAAATGGAAAAAGACATCTTAGCAAGCAAATAAAAAAAGGAGAACATGATCTAATCTACCCTTATTGTTTTTTCTACAGATAGTAGTGAAGTGAAGGTGGGTGAATACAATGCTGTGGCTGACACATTGGAAATCATCAATGACACCATCAGATTTCAAGGTAGGATGGGTTGCTTGAAGTTCAATCAAAGAGTGGTATGATATTGTGTAAACATCCCCAGTAACCCAGGGGCATGTTTTACAGAATAATAACAATAATAATAATAGCTAACATTTCTATAGTGCTTACTATGTGCCAGTCACTGCACTAAGCGCTTTCTAATTATTATTTCATTGTGAGGCAGCTTAAGCTATAGGCTATAAAATCAAGAAGTCCTGGCTTCAAGTCCTGCCTCTGACACAATACTGGGTATTTAACTATGGTCAACTCACTTAACCCCTCTGGGCCCAGGCAACTCTCTAAAACTATGAGTTACAGGTGAAGGTACCAATATGCATCCATGGAGGGAGTTTCTATACCATGAGTTCCTTACACTGATGAAATCACAAGTTCAGACCAAAAAAACAACATGTCATTATACATAAGTCTTCACTGACCCTCAAGTCAGAGATCAGATTTGGGGAAGACACTATCAGGTTCCAAGATAGGACAGGTTTCTTTAAAATCAAGTGAAGAAGAATAGTGTGACATGTTGTAATTATCTCTAATAAACCAACGTCACTTGGGAAAGGAAGGGGGAAGAGATAAAGCATTTACATAGTGCCTATTATGTGCCAAACACAATGTTAAGTGCTTTGCAAATATCATTTCATTTGATCCTCACAACAACCTTGAGGGATAGGTGCTGCAAGGATCCCCATTTTACAGCTGAGGAAACTGAGGCAGACAGAGGTTTAGTGACTTACCTAGGGTCTTACAACTAGTAAGTATCTGAGGCTGGATTTGAATTCAAGTCTTCCTGACTCCAGGTCTAGCACCCTATTCATTGCACCACCTGTTGGCATAGTACTTTGGATTTCCATGGAGGATAGAAATCTCCTCCCTATGCACGTGGAAAGTAATATACGTCAGGCCATTTGGGAGCATAGCCTGGATCAAGACAAAGGGGCAGCCTGTTGTACAGAGCCAGCAGCCTGGAAACTCCCATTCTGACACCATGGGCTGTAGAGCATTGGAGTCTGTGAACACACAAATCCCCTGAGTCTTTTCTCAAGCTAAGCTAAGGCCCGGCTGGAGGTGACTCATTTGGGGACCACAGAGAAGGGAAAAATGAATCACAATTGTTCATGCTCTAGAGAAGGCTTACAGGACAGAAAGGTGAAATTCCAATTTCAACAAACAACCTCCAAAATGCACTGTTTCCCCAAATAGCATTTGGGGGCCATTTCCCCAAACTACTCTTGAATGCACAAATTATTGTGGTTACTCTACCTATGGCCACCTGAGTTACTTAACCTATTTTCTGTAGTATTTAGCCTATTAACTTCTTATTTAATCTAAGTTATTCTGTCATATTGCTTAGTTTCATTCACAGGATTTAACCTTTGGAGATACTAAGAAAAACATGCAAAGGAAAGCCCCCTCTATCACAACCAGGGCCACACATTTGTATACCTTTGGCAAGGTGTGAAGATTGTGTTCCCACCATGTGAAAAGCACCTCTTTTGTGTGTTACAGTACACCATTGGATTTTAGCTTTCACCCTAATACACATAGCTTGGAGAAGGGGCTTTTTCTAGTATGAAAAAATGTCCATTTTATTAAAAAGTCATATTTTAAAGCAATCCACCCAATGTAGTACCCTAGGAAGCTGCCTCTGTTGTCCACCAAGCATGCAGAAAGCATTGTCCTCCAATTGCCATTGATACAAACACATAAGCCTTGTGGCATTTTGACCATACGTCATTTATACCTACACTGTCCTCATCAAGGTCCTTTTGCAACCTTAACACCACTGGCTAGCCTTTAAACAACATTAAAATTTCAGAACAAGTCAATGACCAGGCTAGAAGCTCAGTCTTAATTCCCCATTCTGGACCTAAAATATGAAATTTGCTCTTCAGCTATTGAGAACTCTAGGGATATATTTACACATGGAAAAAACCCAGGGTATAGAACACACACAACCCCAAGGATTGTTCACAATCTGCATTTATTGAATTTCAATTTAAAATTGTGCCACGTTTTATAAAGGCAAAGCAGAACCCTCTGGAGACTGATCTCTTTGATTTTTTTTTTTTAATATAGAAGTGACTGAGCTTGGGGGAAGGAAGTCCTAAAAAGAGCTCATTCTGGAGAATGTTTCTCTTTCTTTTTTTTATAAGACTACCAGCAGTTTCTTTTTATAACCCTTCATTAAAGCAATTACTTCAGGAGGTAAAGGGATATACGTATATGTGTGTATATATATATATATATATATATATATATACACACACACATACCTATAATATAAGACGTCTTCCTAGAGATCTTATTTTCATTGAGGAACAGCACATCCCATTCAGCCTGGCCCTATACTTTCAAGACAGTCTCCTATGATCTAATTGGGAACTCATAGCACACCTGTGCTGCCTCCCTCTTAATTCCCCAGCCTGAATAGCAACCCCCTCCCACCCAAATCACTGACCAGAGCCTTACCTCCACCCAACTTCCAATGGGTAGGTTTTAGAATCATTCACACCCAACCAGCCAATCAAAAATGGCCAATGACTGCTGGCCTAGTCCTCGTATTATGCCCACCCTGTAACTGGCAATGGCCCGGGATGCAGTGGGTGAACTTGGACTTTCTAAGGACAGTCAAAGGGTAATGTTCATGGGAGGAAAAGGCTAGTCCAGCTGGAAGTGATCAGGAAAAACTCTATTCACATGTAAATGAGTTTCGCTGGACTTCAATGACTGGAGGAGAAAGTGAGGCTGATGACTTTGCAGCTCTGCCTCACTTAAATCCAATTTGCACTCAAGACAAGACATCAGCGGGTGACGTCACTGGTCCTCTTCCTGAACAAAGGACAAACAACAGCCCACCCTATAAATTCTGGCCCTTTTGTTTTGGTTTGTTCATTAGTGTAGGGAACTGCAAGTAAGGAAACCCTCTCCACCAATGCAGAGTAGCATTTTCTCTGCATTGTATAGCTCAGAGTTGCCTGGGGCACTGGGCCACTGATTCAGGCACTGTATCCTAGTATGTGTCAGAGGTAGGATTTGAAGTCTGGTTTTCCTAACTCTAGGGCCAGCTCCTAATCCACTAAGCTACATAATTTAATGACCTAATTTTGAATTTGCATACAACTATCATACCAAACATAAGGGAGTGGGGAGGAGCATTACTAAAACTTAAGAATATCTTACACAATTAGTTGTGAATTTTATTTTTTTAAAAACTGAGGGAGGGGAGAAAAAGAGAGAAAGAGAGAGAAAGGAAGGAAGGGAGGGGAGGAAGAGAGAGAGGAAGGGAGGGGAGGAAGAGAGAGAGGAAGGAAGGAAAGAAAGAAGAAGGAAGAAAGGAAGGAAAGAAAGAGAGGAAGGAAGGAAAGAAAGAGAAAGGAAGGAAGGAAAGAAAGAGAGAAAGGAAGGAAGGAAGGAAGGAAGGAAGGAAGGAAGGAAGGAAGGAAGGAAGGAAGGAGGGAGGGAAGGAAAACAGGCTTAGGTGTGGCCAGGCTGGGATAGAATTCTCAGTATTCGAAGCCACGGTTGTTGTTTTGCCTGTGTTCGACACAATGACAATAATAAATAACTCTCAGAGGAAATCAATGTGTGTTTTTGCTTAAGCTGACTTTTCTCATTGACCTTTCAGGTTCAGAGCCTCCAAAAGACAAAACAATCATCCAAGAACAGCTGAGGGAGATCTCCCTTCCTCTTTACAGCATTCTCTCTGCCCTCACAATCCTAGGAATGATCATGGCCAGCGCCTTCCTCTTCTTTAACATCAAAAACAGAAACCAGAAGTAAGTCATTCATTTCCATCCTGCTCCTAATGTTCCCTAAGCCGACGTGCTGCCTTTGTACAGCCTAGAATTGACCACAATGAACTATTAGGCTCCCCATCTGTAAAATGGGCATAATAACACTTACGTGACCTACCTTCAAGGGTAGCTGTGAGCAGAGTGCTATAGAAATAGAAATGTAAAAGAATATGTTCATTATCAATATTATTAAAGTATTTCTCTGTATGTTGTACCCTGAGGATTCAATAGGCATTCCTTCAGGAAAGCAGAGGACCAGGGGGTGTATGCAGTAGGAGAAAGGATGCAGACACTTCCCACTGTGAGAACTAGAAAAGGCCATAAGGGTCTGCTACCCCAATCCTCCTCATTTGACAGATGAAGAAACTGAATCTCAGGGAGAAATGACTTGCCCAAGGTCACACAGCAATTTGGAAGGCTAAGACTAGAATACAAGATATCTAGCTTCAAGCCCAGGGCTCTCTACACTCTACCACACTGCCTTTCCAAATTACAGAGAACAGTCAGCCACAGAGAAACTCGCCCACTAAGGAAATCTGGCTAGTGCTAGATGACAAACAAGGCCACATTTTAGGCTACAGTTTTTTTTTTAAATATAGTTCTTTAGTTTCCATGGAGAGTCTCTAAATCCAGTTTCCCTTCATGTTGGGGTTGGGGGGGGTGGTTTGAGAAGAGAAGAATGGAGATGGGCAGGGGGAACATCAGTCTCTCTGCTATTCAAGGCCAGCTTCAGATTATACGGGTGTCAGAATCATTCCCCATCCTTTAAATGCGTGTTGGAGCCCTGAAGGGCACTGGCCTAGAACCCAATGTGAAGGCAGGCCTCACAGACACACCATATGATCAAGGATCAAGCGGGGCAGCCACTGTGTCCCCCACAGTGAAGCGTCATCTCTGAGGCGACCAAAGCTGTTGGAACCTAGGAGATGAATCACTGCTTGATCCAGGAATAAACCTAACTCCACGAGAGAATCTAGGACGATGGCAGTGAATTTTCCCTTCTTCCCATATGAGAAATGGAAAATTGTCTTGATATTTTAGCAATTTGTTAACTCTTTGGTCCAAGATGAGAGACAAAAAGAGGTTCTCTTGAGTCCTAGAATGTCAACTTTGGAAGGGTGCTCAGAGGTCACAGTCCAATGAAGTGGGACCCTCCCCTCTGTCACCTCAACCCTAAGCAAATGGTCAGTCAGACTTTGCTTGAGTACCACCAGTGACAGACATCTCACAAGCTACTAAGGCGTACTCTTCCATTTTTGGACAGTTCTCTCAGTTATGAAGTTTGAACAAGTCATTGTTGTCACCATGTTTAATAGAAAGCACACCAAACTAGAAATTGATCGAATTAGGTTTGAGACCCAGGCCTGCAAAAATCACTCAGCCTCATTGTCAGTTTCAAAAAAAAAAAAAAAAAAAAAAGCAGGGACAGCTAGGTGGCACAGTGGGTAGAGTACCAGTCCTGGAGTCAGGATGACCTGAGTTCAAATCTAGCCTCAGACACTTGACACTTACTAGCTGTGTGACCCCGGGCAAGTCACTGAACCCCACTGCCTAGCCAAAAAAAAAAAATTGTCGGTTTCCTCACCTGTTAAATGGGGATGACAATGTATACCCTACTTAGATCACAGAGTAGTTGTGAGGAAAGCACATTACAAACTGCAAAACAACATAAAAATATAACATTATTGTACCTTTATCTAAAGACTAAATGCCCATAATTTCTTCTAGAGTGCCAGGGAGAAAATCAGGCAGCTAGGTGGCACAGTGGATAGAGTGCTGGGCCTGGAGTCAGGAAGACCTGAGTTCAAATCTAGCTGTGTGACCCTGGGCAAGTCACTTAACCCTGTTTCCTCATCTGTAAAATGATCTGAAGAAGGAAAAGGCAAGTATCTTTGCCAAGAAAACCCCAAAATGGGGTCACGAAGAGTCGGACATGACTAAAACAACTGACCAAGGGGAGAAATCAGTATTCCTGTTTCCAATTTGCTGTTATTCACTGGATTTTTTTTTTTTTAATGCTTGGGCTATTTCTCTAAAAGTCTATGAAGAAACAGAAAACAATCACTATGGTTCTAAGTTCCCCTTTCCTAAGTAAATCTTTCCAAACTTTCCTTTAAGCACCAGAATAAGTCCCACCACACTTCAAAGGCCTTCCCCAATTACTGGATCTCCCCTTCTATGTGCTGCTGTCGTCTATACCCTCCATTGAAGTTTTTCGTTATTACTGAACTGTTTTCATCTATGTGTTTTATCTTCCTGTGAGAAACAGGGTTCAGTCACTCCTTGGTAGGGTTAGGGGTTTAGCCCAAGCACGCAGCCACAACTCACTGCTCCCCTAGAAACATACCATGCACAGTTCTGTCCTCCCTTAAGAAACAAAACTGAAGTGAGCGAAGGAGATGTTTATTTACAGTTCTTGCAAGAAGCGGGTGTGTGTGTGGTACCCCAAAAAAAGACACACACCAACAGATGCCAGAGCAAACTTTTTATGCAGTTCCTTTTTGTCCCTCCCTTCAAAGCTGGGATTGGTCCCTGCTCTTACAATCTTCTGGGTACTCCCACTTCATAACGCATCCGTCCTCCCGCTAACATATGAAATGTGCCTCGTTCTGTGCTATTGCTGCCCTCTGGGTGGAGAAGTTAATATTAATGAGCCCATGCTGCATGTGCACTCTAAGTAAAGCTTAACCTTTGTCCTACCTCCGGTCTCTTTAACCAAACAACCAATTTCATCCACTTTTAGGCAGTTCTAGCTAGAACTTCTGACCTAGAGCTACCTTTTCTCTCAATTTCCTTGTATGGAAATATAATCATTTCTTACCTCTCACATTCCCAACTAAGAGTACACATCTTACCGTTTTTCCCCTTGGTACCTAATGCAGTATTGTACAGGGAAGGCATTCAGCAAATGAGTATTGAGTGAATGAGTGAATGAATGAACTGTCCTATTAAAGGTACTACCTCTTTCTGTTGGTAGGCTAATAAAGATGTCCAGCCCATACATGAACAATCTCATTATCCTCGGGGGAATGCTGTCTTATGCATCTATTTTCCTTTTTGGCCTTGATGGATCGTTTGTCTCTGAAAAAACATTTGAGACACTTTGCACGGTAAGTAACTTAAAATATTCTACCTGGCTATGAATTATACAGTATAAAATCTTTCATGGTGAAAATAGAAAATACTGTATAATGTGGCACTTGTCTAGCAGTTTTTGGAAATCTAAGCCTTTCAGAACATAGTCATAGGGGGCAGCTAGGTGGCGCAGTGGATAGAGCACTGACCCTTAAGTCAGGAGGACCTGAGTTCAAATCTGGCCTCAGACCAAACACTTGACACTTACTAGCTGTGTGACCCTGGGCAAGTCACTTAACCCCAATTGCCTTAAAAAAAAAAAAAAACCAAGAACATAGTCATAAACCCAGAAGTGAAAAAGCCTCTGGGCAAACAGAAAAAGAGTTGTTACAAAGCCCATGCGCTTCTATAAAGAGAGGTATGGATGGAGTCATTACTAGACTACAGCCTATTGACCTCCCGTGTATAAAATTAAGTTTACTGATTTAAACAAGCTTCAACTAGTAGCCGGCCCACTGAAAAGTGGCAGCAGATATTGAAGCTGCAGACAGAAGATTCACCATGTGTTAGCCTAGCAGAAGTCGTGCTGGGGCAAACAGAGCATCCTGTGAGGCCATCCCAGGACACAATATAAAACAGTATTTTGTGTTCAATAGTGGTGACTCTAAGTCTTAAAGCAGAGATTTTTTTGGAATGGCAGATAAGTAACTGTTGGCAGTCTGGTCAAGCCTATGGATCTCTTCTCTGAATAATATTTTTAAATGCACAAAATAAAATGCATAGGATTACAAAGGAAATCAATTATACTGAATACAGGTATCAGAAATCTAAAAAAAAGCTTGAAATTAAGTTTCAAAAAAAATGATTGAAAATTTAAGTATCAGCACTTAAGGGGTAAGCTTCAGTTATGGGCAAATTTTAGTCTCTTATTCAAGGGACAGCTGAGGGGTGCAGTGAATAGAGTGCTGGGCCTAGAGTTAGAAAAACTCATCTTTGTGAGTTCAAATCTGGCTTCAGACACTTATCACTTAACCCTGTTTGCCTCACTTTCCTCATCTATAAAATGAGCTAGAGAAGGAAATGGCAAACCACTCTAGTATCTTTGCCAAGAAAATCCCAAATGAGTTCCCAAAGTGAGAGATAACTGGAAAACATCTGAACAACAACAAATGTGCCAGGCACCATCCTGAGCAAAGGAGGGTGCAAAGAAAGGCAAAAATATCATCTCTTACCTTCAGGGAGCTCATACTGTAAAAGAAGAGACACTATGCAACTAACTATGTATTTACAAGATACAGACAATGTAAATGGAAGGTAATCCTAGCTGCTAGAGTGACTGGCAAAGACCTACAAAAGATGAGATTCTAGTCTTAAAGGAAAATAGGGACATTCCAGAGGTAGAGGTGAGGAAAGAGACTACTACAATCATGGCGGGGGGAGGATGAAAAGGCCCCAAGTCAGGATCTGGAGTATAGAGAGATGAGGATCATGTGTGAGGAACAGCCAGTAGGCCAGAGTGGTAAATTAAAGTTTAAGAAGACCAGAAAAGTAGGCAGGGGTCAGGTTGTGAAAGCATTTAAATGCCTAACAGAGCATTTTACAATTCATCCTGCCTGTCATAGAGATCCACTGGAGTTTTTGAAGTAAAGGATTGACGTGGTCAGACCCATTCTTTAGGAGGATCCCTTTGGCAACTGAGTGAGTGGAGGATGGATCTGAACATCCTTGGTGGTTGGGGAGAGGGCATAAAGAAGATAGAGCTTGAGAGAAGAAGGATGAGACCAGGAAAGAGGTAGCAAGCAAAACAGAGTATAAGGTGGCCTGGTAGGGTGACAGAGATTAGGGGAATAGGAGGTTGTAGTTAATGGGGAAGAGGAGGGAAGTGTTAGTATTTCATTAGCTTTTTTGATTGTCCCATGCTGCTGACATCTCTTTCAGGCAAAGTGCTATCTAACAATGCCTGTTTAATACTTGTAAAACTGATTTTTTGTACCTAAATGTAAGACTTTACATTTATCTGTATGAAGTTTTATCTTATTAGATTTGTCACATGAGCCATCAAGGAAAGGCGATAATAAGCTGGCAGAGATGATCAGTGGAGAAATATATCTCCAGAGCTTAGCACCGTGCTTTGCATATAGAAAACACTGAATTAACACTTCATTCATTCATTCATATAGTTCTATTTAGAATGTTGTGATGAAGAAACTTCTACATTCTGTGCTTCTCCAGGCCCAGGGTACCCATAGATTTCCAGGTGGCCTCATTGCTTCATTGCTTTGAGAGGATGGGTTGAAATGAGAAGGAATCTTGCACTCCAGGAGAGGTCAATGGAGCCTACTAGGAGCCAGATTGCCAGGGAGATGAGACTATTGCAAGGGTTCAGTGTGTAGGAGAGGTATGATGATGCCAAAGGATGGGGTAAAAAAATCATGGTCAAAAAAAAAAAAGCCATGCCAGGTCTTAGGTGGGATACACAAAGGTTGGGAGCACAAAACGGGAACAGGGCAGAACTTTTCAGGTAGTGGTAATTACTTTGTAGGTATACTGTCCATCCTCCTCTTTGATACACATGGTCCCAATCTCTCATGTGTCTCTTAACTTTGAGTATGAACCATTGTGAAACTGACAAATGAGTTGTAAGAACTTAGACAAATATCCTTGTTCAATCCAATTCAATAAACATTTATTGAGTGCCTGCAGTGTGCTAAGCACTGGGGATACAAATAAGAAAAAGACAGTTCCTGCCCTCAAGGAGCTTACAGTCCAATGGAGGGGGGCTGAAAGTGGGGAGGGGCACTGGGCATGAAATTCCATGGAATAGGAACCAAGCAGAATTGCTAATGGAAAATGGAAAGTCTCCCTGGAAAGTTCAGAGCCCTCTATAAAGGAACTTTCAGAGGAGCTTACTGCTCCACTCTAACCTTCCAATCAAAGGGGAGAGGCGACTGACAAAGTTGAGGTGTTGAGCATCAAAAACTGAGTCAATTTGCATGGTAATGAGATTTCAAGTGATCCACTTATCCTGGGAGAGATGTGATGTTCCAAGGAGTCAAAGCCAAACCGAGCTGCTGATGGAAAATAGAATTATCTGAGCCTCAGTTTCCTCATTTACAAATAGTCATAGAAATAGAGATCATTGGATAATGGATTTAGAACTGGGAAAGAATTTAGAAATCATTTAGTCCAATCTCCTGACTTTGTAGATGAGGAAACTGAGGCTCAGAGAAATTAATTGATCTTCTTAAGGTCACAGGTAGTAATTAGGAGAGCCAGGATTTGAAACTAGGTTCTTAACCCCAGATCCAGTGCTCTTTCCACAATACGATGGTGCCTGTCCCCCAAGGTTGTTGTGAGGCTCCCACCAGGTTATATAAAAACCCTTTAGCATGAGGAGCTAAACGAATGGAGGCACCATTAGCAAAGCTGTTCTCAATTGTTTTTTCAGAGTTTATAATGTTCAATCTCATTAAAGTTCCCACAGGCTTTGAAGCCAAGGAGACATTTTCTAAAGCCACATGAATGAACAGTATGGTGCAGGTGCTTCTGAGAGATTTCCACTGAGCTATTCTGTATAGGAAATTCCCAAAGGGTTTGAACTAAATAGAAACCAGGAAGTTTTTCAGTGTCCTTTGAGGGTCAGCACTATGTTGGATAATTGCTTTGTACCCCCATTCAATAGAGTGCCATGTTCATGAAGATGCTTAACAGGTGACACTGAATGGCAAGGACAATGTGTGTATTTGACATTTTTGTGAAAAAACGTGTAGAGCCAGAAATCTGCTTCCTATGCCCTTACTACTGGGGAGGGGGGAGAGGAGAAGTAAACACCTACTATGTGCCAAGAACTGTGCTAAGCACTACAAATATCTCATTTGATCCTCACAACAACCCTAGGAGGGAGGTGCTATTATTTTCCCCATTTTACAGCTGAGGAAACTGAGGCAAACAGAGGTTAAGTGACTTATCCAGAGACATATAGCTAATAAGTATCTGATGCTGGATTTAAACTTAAGTCTTCCTAGCTCCAGATCTAGTAAGCTATCCACTGAGCCACTAGCTACCTCTAAAAAATACTACTAAGAGACGCAACCTGTATTACAGTGGAAAGAGAAGTTAGGATCAGAGGACCTGAGTTCCAATCCTTGCTCCACATTTCCTATCTGTGTCACCTTGGGGAAGGTTCACTTCACATCTGCTGCTTTGCCTGGTTTCAACTCCATAAAATGAGATGCCCCTCCCAGGTGAAGCTCATCTCATCACCATGCTGTTCATTCTAGCCCGAGTTGATACCACCTTCCTCAGCCTCCTGTCCCCTCTGATTGGAGGGCTTGAGGGTGGAGTACCAGACTCCTCCCAATGCCTTCCTTTACAGAGGGCAGAGCTAGACTTTCAGCTTGCCCCACACTGTACCTGCTGCTCTACCTGGTTTCAATTCTATGAAACAAGATGCCCCTATGCCACATACCCACTTCTGTCCCCCCCCCGTTTTCCTGCCTCCCTTTGTGTGTTGTCTCCCCCTTTAGATTGTAATCCCCTTGAGGGAAGGGACTGTCTTTCTTTTTTATTGATTGTTTCCCCAACACCTATCACCATCTTTGGATAGCTCTAACCCTTAGGAATTTTTTTCCCCTAAATGAGCCTAAATTTGTCTCCTTGCAATTGCCATTGATTGCTTCTGGTTCTGCCCTCTAGGGCAGAAGTGGACAGACTTTGGCCTAAGAGTCAAATCCAGCCTTATGACTGTTTTTTATACTGCTGCAAGCTAATAATAGTTGGCAAATTTTTAAATACAACAAAACTTTATTTTAAAATGTAACAATAATTCTTAGCTCATACAAAACAGGCAGCAGTTCAGATTTGGCCCAATGGCCATAGCTTGATGACCCTGCTCTAGGACCAGACAGAACAAGAATATTCCTCCTTCACTTGAAGGCTCTTTAGATAATTGAACACAGCTATCATTTTCCCTTTGAGTTTTCTCTTCTCCAGGCTAAACATCCCTAGTTCTTTCAACTAACCTTCATTTGATATG